TTTTATTTATCACTCAAAAAAAATATGCAAATACTTTAAGTTCCTAAGCCTAATAATTAAGATCACTCATAACATCTGTATCGATTTTAAATATTTGCATGTAATTAATAATGAATGAATAAATTATTTTTCTCAATTTAATTTAATTAACATTTTTTTTTTTTTTTACATAATAATATTAAATTAGAACTATCAAATTATATACAAAAAATTATATATTTCATACAACATGAGTTTACGATAGATGTGTGTACTCTCATTCAAATGTAATACATTGCTCAGAAAATTATATTCAACAGCTGTTGTTCTTTGGAATGTATAGAGTGTTGTTAATGAAGTTTTAAAGACGAGACACGACGTAAATTTTATAGGAAAACAGAGCTGCAAAAAACAATTTTATGATTTCTCAGTGAACACCATAATAACTGTTGTACGATGAAATCATCCAGTATATAATATACAAACAGGGATAGATTGGCAAATTTGTTCAGCCCGGGTAAGATAAATTTTGAATTATGTTTTTAAGTACCTAATTTAAATTATTTTAAAAAATAATTAAGCTTAACTTTTATTTTAGAACAGTCTTGAAAAATCTATTTACGTTTATAAAATGTACTTTTTATGTTGAAGTGTTATTTTTAAAACATACATGGAACTTCAGATTCATCAACTTAATCAGGTCTATCCTACCAAAATAATGTCATAATACTTGATTTTTTAATATTTTATACTTATTTTACAACCATTTTTTTTTGTAATTATATAATAAGTACCTAACAAGAACCGGCCCACCAGAAAGATCCCCGATTTCCCGATAGGCCAATGCACCTTTATGTACAAATGACATAACTATATATGTGATAATAATCCATTATAAAATTGTTTAATCTTACATTTACTTCGTTGATTACCCTCAAATATTGAACGCTCTACACTTGTACAATCGTTTAAATTCACTCAATATTTTTTAAGTATTAATTGTAAATTATGTGCACATAGTAAACTGTACTTGTATACGTATGTATTCTTATTTTGGTCACAAATTTTATTTTTAAACGACTGTCAAACTCGGAAGTTTCAATACTTCGAACGTTTTGAAACTATGTTAAATGGTTGGATCATATATCATAGGTATGTTAAACAATTTTTTTTATTTGATAGTTATTGAAATTCACTTCAATATTATAATATTTAGGGGCTCATTTTTTGTCAGAGGCCTAATCGTGAGCCAGACCTACGATAGGCGTGACCTCATACAGTAGTATGAAAAGGAGTACGGACTTTAAAAGTTTGAGAAACCATTATATAGACATAGAGCATTTACGACATGGTTTCTCAAACCATGTTTATATATATAAATAGTTAATTCGCGAGAGTTACTCTCTCTTCCCTTTATGCTAACATTTTGGACATTCTATTATTTAGGTGTATAGATCAAAACTTTTACTTGTTGATGATGGCTACTTTCTATAAATAACGATTTATAATATTTTATGTACTTAACATAGCTATACAATACTTAATAGCTTATACTTTACAAAAATAAAGAATTATTATAATTTCTATTATACTTAATAGTTGGAGTTGGTTTATTAATTACATTAGTTAAATAATTTTGGAATCAAATTTTAATTGATTTTTAAATGTTTCAACAATTAACAGCGGAAGGAAATAATAGCGTTATATATTATTATACATGTAGTTTATTGATTTGTGGAATAAAAGTATATAAGTTAACATAATTTATATTACACAAAATTATAAGTCTTATATATTCATACTAATACACTGTAACATATACAAGTATAAATATATTATTAAAATGTAAAATCAAGCGTTAAATAAATAAAAATACAAGTTTGCAATGGTCTACAGGTCATAACAACAGCATTATATACGAGTGTGCATGTTTTTATGAACCCATTGATAATTTTTAACTTATTTGTATAATACGAAGATTAATTTTCAGTTACCACACCAAAAAAATAATATAATTTTTCATAACAGAAAACATAAAATAATGGAAAAAATTAGGATTTATTATTATCATATAAAAATATCGATTGTATTTGAGTAATTTTTTAACAAATTTTTTGTAAAATCAAGATTTAATTTCAGTATGAATAATATAATAAGTATAGAATAAGTATAGAATTACATATGGAGAATTTCGTTCGACCGCACACAGATGGTCTTCAGTAGTGGTTTTGCATAATATCTGAAGAAATGAATTGGAATTCCTCTTTTTTTCCAACACAAGTGCTTAACGATATGAGATCTACTTACAATATAAGATTTTATAACAGATTCATTTTTTTTCTCTTTTGGTCTAATGTATTTACACATGCTCGCAAAAAATTCAAATAACCCCCGATCACGACTGAAAAAGTAAAACGAATCATAACTCCAGAGAATTAAACGAAGCTTCATGATTTATAATTGATTCAATTATAATTATTTTATATGCATTTTGAACATCACGGAATAAACTGTTGAAAAATAATTTCTTAGTAAGCTGTATGTCGTTGCAAATGTTAATATACGTTGTCCGTTTAACATAGTGATAGTGATTAAAATTGTACAAAAAAGTATTTCATAAATTAATAAGGCTATTGTATTAATTGCTAAGCCAGGGGCGTATTTAAACTTACTTCTAGGGGGGGGGGGGGGGCAAATTTTTCTTTAATTCAGGTTCAAAATTTACAAGTAAAATGTTTGGTAATATTTAAATCAGATGAATCCTTAATATTTGTTTTTTTTTTAATTTAATGCAGGATCGATCCACTTAGAATGTATTTTGTGTAGTTCTTTTTTAACACCTGTCTGTGTTTTGAAAGTTTTGCTTGTGTTTTATTTGATTTTTCACTAAGTATGGACCAGGATTCTTAAATTAAAAGAATAAATATTGTTTACCGTTATGGGATATTTAAACGTTACAAGCAATTGAGCGTTTAACGCTGTAAATAATTTAAACGTTACTAAATTTAAGCGTTTATACGTTATACAGATTCAAACGTTTAAAAAATGTTCGTTATGGTACCCAAAAAAGTATACCTATAAAGATCTCTGATTTTTAAAATGAAACACGTACAAATATTTCAAAAATATAAAAACTATAAGATGTTTCTTACAAATTCTCCGGGAAATAGTCAAATATTAATTTGATTATTGGCAAATGTCAGTTATTAAGTACTCCATGGTGTCGCGTAATACAGTTCATTTATTGTGTACATAGAGGACAACAGGTTGACAAACGTTTCGTTTACGCGTAGTCATGATTGTATTCATGCGAGTGGAAGTTTTTTTTTTTTTTTTGATACAATCAATGTCAAGTGGTGGGTTTCATCGTCTGGTCTCTAGTGACGGCGTTAGGTAGCGTCTGCAACTTATATATGATTCATGATTTCTATGTTTGAAAATGACAATGCCCTTGGGCCAAAGTAGTCTAGATCAAGTTATGTTTATTATCATTATGTGACACATCATGTTTAAGGATTTTTAGTTTTTTTTTTTTTTGTAAAACCAGAGAATTCCAATTGTTTATTTTCGGACGTATTAATTACACTTTTTAGTTGGTCACAGACGGGATGAAGCAGGGATGAATATTGGCCAGGTCGGGAGGTTACTTTTATGTTTCGCTACACCTCTACATTTGTCTAGGACATGACGTGGGCACAACGGTTTGATAAACATACAATGCGAGTGTATGACGTGCGTAGAAGGCAGCCATGGTAATCGGAATAATGCGACAACACCGGTGTTGTAGCCGCGTTCGACGATATATTACAATAAAATGTGACTGGTTGAATACTGGTACACAACGGCAATTATTATTAGCAGACATGCAGCTCGACAGGACGGAATGCGTGTTCGAAATACATATAATGCGCGCGTTGATAATTGTTAATTAATATCATCGTTAAGTGAGTTCGTAGACCAATGTATACATGTGTATATTGAGAGAGAGTGAGAGACAGAGAGAAAACTGGTTTCGGAACGCTCTGTATACGCGCACCGTCACCACCCCGTGTAACCGCACTGCCACCGATCACTACGTGAATTGTATACGCAGCGTTCGCTTCGAACAAGACGGATTCGTCTGGCCGTCACGAACGGTGCTATGGTCTCCTGCCCGCACCTACGCCAACAACGACGATGACGACGAACGGAGCGGTAATCGTGGGCGCCTCAGCGTGCGTGCGACGAACCGAAGACGCGACGAACGGTCTTGCCACACGAGTTCTCCCGCCCCGCACGGACGGGTAGCAGAAGCCAGTGGCGTATTTTCAATTTTTTCTGGGGGTGGGTCCACAGTTTATACATGATTAATATAAACTATATATTATATTGTAATAGTAAGAATTTTAGTTTATTTTTTAATTTTTGAAGAGGTTCTGGTGGGGCCAGTACCCCTGGACCCCCCCCCCCCCCCCGTAGATACGCCACTGACAGAAGCCGTCGGCGGACGCGTACCGACAATCGTTCGATGTTTTCGCGCACGGTTCGGGTCGACGGGGTAAGAATTCCCGAGGAACGGAACGATTGTTGTTTTTGGACCGCGGAACGGAGATTCGTGCGCCGGTGACTGAACACCCACCCCGTCGTTCGGGTGCAAGCGCGTACGGACGCGCGTCACAACACAACACGACCGTCCCCCTCCGCGGTGCTCTCGGGCACCTATGGCTGGCCGGGACGTGCGGGGTTGACCCTGACAAAGGCTGCCGCTGCACGGTGGGACGTATCGATTAATATTTCCCGGCCGCCTCCCCTCCGCGTCGTTTTTTTGACGGTCATTCGAAGGGATGGAATCGAACACGGCGGCGGCGGTGGCACGGCGATGCAGGAGTAGGAGGAGGAGGAGGAGGAGGAGGATGAGGAAGAGGCTGAGGAACACAGCGATGCTGGTGGCGGTGACGTTGGCTGGCGGCGGTAGAGGCGACGGCGGTGGTGGTAGCGGCGGCGGCGGCGGCGGTGCAGCTACGTTCTGACGCGGCGGATACACGCACAGACAGTGCTGCGCGGGCGCGCGTGTGTGTTGTTGTTATTGTTGTTGTTGTCGTCGTCGTCGTCGTCACCACAGCGCTGTACAGTGCCCGGTTACGAAAAATATTGTAGCGTTATCGGTTTTCTACGTTTTCGCACCGTGTTCGGCCGTCGCGCGAATCCGTACAAGTCGTGTGCACGTACCACACCGTCCGATCGCCGGCACCAGGGTCTTCGTGTGCCGATCGGTCGTGTTCCTCGTGTCCACCGGCCATCAGTAATATTCGTTCGTCACCGCCGCCGCTCACTCCCGGTCGGCTCTTCGGCGCACGCCGTGTCCGTCACTTTCGCCCCGTCCGCCGCGTCGAAAAACCGTATTGCAGTGCACGCGCGCACACGCACTACCACCGCTCTCGGTCGTCCGCGATAATGGGACCGAGGAAAAAATATTACTCGCCGAGACGACCGCCTCCGATAACCAGACGAACGCGGGACCGTGACCTTGAGACGATGACGACGGTTCAGTAGATCAGTGTCGCTGGTTCGTGTACGACTCCGAACTCCTCTCCCGCAACACGTCCGTAAATAACATTTATACACTCGTATACACGGGCGCGCGCGCTCGCGCGCACGTACTCCGCTCACCGTCGGCCGCGGCGAAAAAGGTGAGTGAAAATCGCTCGAAACGATATTTATTATTTACGTAACCGCAATGTTATTGTTTGTTTGTTGTTGTTGTTGTTCTCATTATTATTATTATTATTATTATTACTACCACCACTACTACTACTACTACCGCCACCACTACCAATCGTGTCCTGATAACGTCGAACAGGTTGGTCACGGTCCACCACGGATCGTAATGGTTTCCCTCCGCGTTTCGCGCGTGTCCTCTCATATCCGTTCGCGCATTCCGTCGACGACGGGCCGAAGTCGCGGACGCGTCAGTGGCGTTTTAAGGGCGGCCGATGAGTACCTGCTCCGTTACGTCGCTCGTACCGTTACGACGGCGGCGTATGGACGCGCGAAAACGGTTTACCAGCAGCAACCTAGTCCTACGATAACGATTCCGACGTTGGCAGTGCGCCGACGCGATGTCCGCGACAAGTGCACGCGATTTGCATAACGTTTGTTCACCTGGGCCGTACACGTTGAACGCAGCGCACTGCCGTCTACAGCGCGGTACGGTATTAATCATTGCCGTGCGCTCGCGTACGATTGTTTCCGGTGACACGGACAAAGGATCGAAACGAAACAAAACAAAAAAAAAAAAAACCTCCGTCCCTTAGCGGCGCTACGACGGTTTCGGCGGTGTAGGTGCGATCCCCTCCGTCGTTCGTGTCCGCCTCCTTGGCGTGTACCCCTTACCTATGTTGCCGCGCAGCTGACGTACCAGCCGATTGGAAACGTCACGGTGCTCCGAGTCGTTACGGCACACAAGAACGTTCAGCGGTAACAGCTGCTCCCCGTCCCCGGGTTGGGTGGGTCACGGGAATGCGACCGATGCCCAACACCGTACAGTTGGGCACCGCTACTACTACTACTAAACTGGTACAGCAATGCAGTTGTTACGGACTGCGGGTAGACGCGGTTTAAATCGCTGGTGCAAGTGTACACGACGTCGCACAGCACCGACCAACAATTGTGCACGACGTACGGTTTTACTTGTTGCCCGCACCACTTCTTCCGCGAAGATATCGCTCGTAAACAGTGGCGCCAAATGGTTTCCCCGAACGTACGTTTCGGGGTTTTGAGGCAATAAATGCATATTTCTGTTCGTTTCAAAACGGTTACCGTCGACAAGACGTTCGATCCCCAGGAAAACGTACCGAACATCCATCATGACGCCTACGCGTCCGGGGTTATTACCTTTGCCGCGCCATTGCTCTACTCCGTTTTTCAAAGCGTGCCTCTATCTCTCATCACAATCATCAATCGTCTAACCTAACACGGAATCGGAGCCCTGAAGACTTTGCGCCGTCCGAATAAAATTAATACCTATTTGATGGGCGTCAGGTACCTGCTTGAACTTGTACCCCTGTTCGAATTCCATTGTCCGCCATTGTAAGGAACGAATATATACCCGTTATCGTTTAGCGTCGCTCAGTAATCGATATTTTTCTATACACAAGCACTTCCTCGGTCGTGTTACGTCACGTACGACTTGAAAGTTATTTGTTCTACGTGTGGCGGTCAGTTGTCGAGGAAGTACCTCGTTGATCACACACAGTCGTATATCCGTCACTGAACGGATTTTCGACAGTATCAACTGATCTAAGAAATCATGATAGTAAAGTCAACACTTTTAAAACGCCGACGTCGAGTGTTGACATTTCCATAACACAAAAAGTTACGTAATTAGTGAATTATTTTTTATGCTTAAGCTTAATTTGCACGGACCACATTACAACCATAAAACGGTGGTTGATATGAATCACTTTTCTGTGTTCGTTAGAAGTCCGAACCGGCGACAATAGAACCGCACCACGACTACAAATATGGCGTATATTCCGTATTTCTATTGTTGTAACTTTTATTTTTTACAAAATGTATTTAGAACAAAAACGAACTTAGAAGAGGAAGCACTGTTGTTAATTTTATACAACAATATTGTTAATATATTATAATAATCATGATTATCGTGATAGTGGTGAGTGGTTAGAAAGTGGTTGGCGTGTCGTACCACAGCCGTCCGCAATTTAGTGGGCGATACTGTCATTCAGCTGCAACTGCTGTTTGGGGTTGCTATAAATTTATAAGACGAAACTGGGACAACACTAGCACAATATTGAGTAATAAACTTTTTATATAACTTTAAATATATTGAGAGGACCAGTGGCGTATACAGAAAATATTTTCGGGAGGGGCTACTATGGACAGAGTTAAATTACCACTGCTTTCTAAGAATTACTAACAAGACACAGTAGGTACTTATATACATTTCATTTACAGAATGTCCCAAAATAATTTGACGTTGGGCGTAAATTCTAAATAAGCATAAAGCACCATTAAAATATAACAAACGTTTAAAATAATTTTTAAGTTTTTTAAAACATTTGGGGGGGAGCTGTAGCCCACTAGACACCCCCCTATATACGATACTGCAAGGGGGGATGTGGAGGTCAGATTCCCCTAGGCTTTTTTTTCAAATGTTATAAAATAATGCTCTTAGCGTGAGAGCGTTAGAAACGTAAAAAAAAAAAAAAAAATAGTCATATAATAAAAATAATGTTGTTGCAAATTAGTTTGTAAATGATCTCTCCCCTTACAAAAGTTATGTATACGCCACTGAAGAAGACCATTAATGACCGGCAATATAATATTTAAAAAAAATGTAAAATAAAATATATTATATATTATATGTGTAAATTACAAATTATTTTTTTATTTTATATTGTTTATCGATTACGATTAAGAATGTACTTTGAGATAAACTGGTCGAAATTAAAAATTGAGCAATACTACATTTCCTATAAACGTCTAAGCCGGGACATATGAATGTCCCGAAAACATTTTTCGGGACACGACGTCCAAAACCAGTGATAATCCTGGTTTTCCGAGACGCATGGCAACCCTAATGCTGTTGGATGTGACGTTAAAAAATGGTCCGTCTGTGTACGACTGCGTTTATAATTTTACTGTATGTTATTAATATATTGATCACTAGCGATCACCATTTTGTTGTCGTAGCGTGATTATAATATGGTCCATGAGTCTCAATTTAAAATATGTAGATATTATTAACCCGATTAGGTACCCATGCAGTGCCGTAAAAACCGAATGTGCAAAGGGTGAATTGCATACGGGCCTCGAACTATATATTATCAGGCCTCAAAAGGTCAAATACTGAAAAACGTTTGATGATTAGGAGCCTCAAGATTTTGATTCGTACACAGGCCTCGAATGGTCTAGTTACAACACTGTACCATGGGTTATGCTTATTTATCGCCATATCATCTCAAAGATAGTTATCATTGATTAAAATTACATAAGTATGAACAATTAAAACCTATAATATTTTATGACAGTAGTTTAAGTTATTTATTTCATCTCAATGTATCAGTAGAAGATAATTAATCTCGGCGTGTAGAACTAATATAATTCATTATACCTAATATTTATTATTTTAAATAAAATAATGCATGTTATCAAATTGTTATTTTCTAGTATAATTTTATTTCCAATTAATCAATAAACAAATAAAATAATAATAATTAATAATAAAATATAATATAATTATGATTAATTATTATTAATTAATAATTTATCCGTTTGCATTTGATAATTTTGTAAAGCAACCATATTAAATTTGATTAAATTTATATGTTTATTATTTATGTGGATGTTTAGTGATCTACATAGGTACTGAATTAACAGAAGTTTTTTTTTATAAGGCGTTAAATAAAACTTCACAATCTAACTTAACTTTCAAAACCTTTTAAGACGGTAAAATACTCAATTTTCATCAATTTCATTAGATAGAAAATTATTGATTTTTAAAATCTTGATAATTTATAGAAGTATAAAATTAAAAAGAAATATTAAATAAAACCATAAAATAATCTTTCATAATTGAGTGATAAAATCCTTAATTTTTAAGAGCTTTTATTATTTACATATAATGTAAAAACTATTAAGTTTTCTATAATTTTAATCGTTGAATAATAATAAAACTACAAAATAGTAGTTTTCTATATTGTAATATGCAATTCTACTTTATTAAAAAATCTCATGCAGCAGACAAAGAAAATATGAACTCTGTTCAATATTGTCCAAATTTAAATTATTTTTTCAAAAATAAATTTTATTATTCTATAAACCTAGGCTCAGAAATATTACATGATTTCTATTAAAGCTTAAACCTGTTCAGTGAACATTACACATTACTTTTTAATACTAAAGATAAGTATAACTTCATTCATCTCTGGCCAAATCAATGATAAGTTAATATTTCACATTTTAGTACAACATACTCAAATAGGAAACAGTAAAATAAAAATTTAAAACGTAATGATATATTTGTATATTGCAGTGCTTACATTTTTTACAGAATTTTTCAATTTTATTATTATTCTAGTTCTTAACTAGGTGGTTTTTCATTCCTATTTTCTTTTGGTTTTATAACTTCTGACATTAATTTCCTCCATAACTCTTGTTCCATTCCATTATTAATTCCTCTGGCTTCTTAAAATAACTCGTTGTTAGTTTTCTTCATAAGTAATTAGTCTTATTTATGTTTACTTATTTGCTTTGGTGTAATGTTTTGAATAAAAGCAAGAAAAAAAACTAACTAGTTAAAACTAAAACTTAATTTAGACTTCTAGAGTTAGTTAAAAAGCATAAAATTAAGAAATTGACTGCATAGAAGATATACTAGTCCTTAAAAATATTCATGGTAATTATAATTTAAATATTAAGTTTAAGTAGGAACACTATTATCAAATACTTCAATATTAGTTTTATTTCATTTTGATGTGTTATAAATATATTTTAATTCTATATTTTTGTGTAACATATGCATATGAGTCTTAGAAATATTGATGAATCAAAATATATATTAAATTCATTTACAAAATAAAGTTATTATTAGTGAAGATTTATAATTAATAACTCATGTAATAAAATATTATCAGTGAACATTTTGATCATAGATTAAGTTGTACAATTCTACAGATATATTTTACTTATTAATACTATATTTTAATTTAATACATTTGTTATTATATCACAATCTTGAAGTTAATGAATTTGATTTTTGTTTAAAAATATTATAAATAACAAAAGGTTTACATATTGAAATTATTTAATTTATTCAAAAATATCTAGTATATTCTAAAATTATTTAATTACCAATCTACAGGTTGTAATTTTATAAATTTTGATAAAATATAAACAACTATTAGTGTGAATGTAACAAAACATATTACAAATAAATACCATGATTCTTCATCAAAAACATCTGTAAAAGCAGGTAGTTGATTGTAGAATCCATTGATAATTGTTGTAGTATAATGTTCTTTTTTGGCCATTTTATTTTACCGTTTTCCCTTTTTATTCTCAGTCTTCTTAGCAGAAACTTCAATTATTTCTTCTTTGGGTGCTAATGGAGTAATATGTTTGTTAAACTGTTGAAATATTTCCAATATATTCAGATTCTCACATTTAAATAAAACAGATTCACCATTCACTGCAAGTAAACATTTTATTAAATGTTTTGGTATCACAAATATAAATAATTAATAATTGTACCTAATGAAATATCAATAGTTGGTTCACTTCTATCATTGACAACTTCGTTTTTTACAAGACAGAGAGGATTTGTGTCGATCACTTTAGGCGATAGCATGTAATACATGAAATTTCTGAAACAACAAAATATATCAAATATATATATTCAAATTACACATATACAATTATGTATAATTTATATTTTTTGTTTTAGGAATAAACAATATAAAAATAATCATGGAAGCAAATTTTATTATACAACAGGATCCAATCAACTTTAAAGCAGTTTATGAAAACGTAAATGGACATTTCAATGGAAGTTAGTATTTTAAATTTAATAAGTCACACATTATATTGAATGCAAATTAAAATGTATATATTAAATTACTGTGTATAAATAAATAAATATATATATATATGTCTAGAACATTTTAATATATTTAAAAATATGATAAAATGTATTGCTATTATTTAATTTAGTCAATGATAAGATCAAATTACATTTTGATTTCATATAGTGAACATATTTTTAACATAAATAAATTATTTACTCATGAGTACAAAATAAAAAAACTAATTTCGTGAGGATAGATCGTAAAATCACAATGGTAAAATATATAAGAAACGAATTTCCATTGTTTTTTTTTGTTAATAATCGTTTTCTACATAAAATCCTACGAAAACTGGATATGAAACATTCCGAATCCAAAATGGCCAATATGGCTTTATGAGTTCAAAAAATGTTTATAACAATTAAAATTGTAAGCCGTTTAAAACAATTACCTTGCTGTGACGGCATTTTGACTAAAAGGATCAAACTTGACCAACACTCTTTTGACGGGCTTTAAGTTCAATAATTGCGTTTGTTTTTTTACTGCACTCACTAAACCCGACGACCTTGTTTTCGAGCCGGAAAATGGCAGAGACATGGTTCCCAGAGGCAAGCGGTAGTCGTATGTTTTTTTTTTCGGAAACTTAATCAATAAAAGCTCTGCGGGAGCAGCAGCTGCAGAGGCAGCAGTAGTGCAAACATTTGATAATATACAATAGATAAACCTAACATTGAGGTTAAGACTGATGCCGCAGTACCACGGTCACGGTGACTACCGTTGCTGCGTCCGCCATTAGTATTTGTCGATCGAGCAACGTAAAAAGAACGACGAAAATTAAATCCAGTTGGGCTGCACTGGTCGTTGGGCTTGGATCTTCGACGTGTGTACTTTGTTGTGATTTTTTTTTATTCTGTAATCAGCCTTTCGGTTTTTTATTTTTCACATTATATAATTTCGATTATATTAAAAAAAAAAAAAAAAAAAATCCCAAACAATAATGTGTTCGTTCAGTTGATCCTCACCACCAACAATGTCCGGCGTTTGTCTTTAGGGTGTACGAATTCTGCTGCCGCCGCAACCGTCACCACCGGAACAAGACATGTATCCCGTCGGCCAACGTGAGTACACACACATACACACACACATACACGCGCGCGCTCACTGTAGCTTTGTGTATAATTGATCAACAGAGGCAATGACCTCCATTCCTAGAATAATTTGGAATATCGTTTGTCTCTGGCTGACGGGTGATTTTGGCCCTATCGTCCCGTTCCTGTTTCGTCTCGATTTCTCAATGCGACCCGCCTTTGCGCGCCGAGCAATACCGTTTCATTTTAATCTTCCTCTCCCCCCTCCTCAATTTTTTTTAAATTCTTCCTCGCCACTGTGTGCGATAGTCCATGGATGTCGCCGTCGTTTGTAGCACGCGATGCTGCGAAATATGTACTTGGCAAATATCTTCGTAAATTATGTATGCGATAAATTTTGAAGCCATTGCTAGGTCCCAGAATTCGGGCAATATGTACGAACGGTCTTCAAAAGTTAGCAAATATTTTTTTACGCGCCAATTCGTAATTTAACATAGATATATGGTTGTGCGTCTCACCTTTTGACTGGATTCTGTTTTTTTATTTTTTATCACTTACACCATTGAGTCATATTTTCGGTTTACGATTATTTTTGAGAACTTATATTTATAAATAATAAAATATAATTAGTAAATGTTTAATACTCTTAAGTTAATATAGGTATAAATAAATATTTTATTAAATATAAATGATAATAATCTTAACATTAAAATGTTAATATTGCTTAGTACTAGGTACTTAACTAAAATTTTTATTTATTTGTAATTTAATTTATTATAACTGGAATATTGTTGGTTTAAATGTCTATTAATTGTTAAATGTTATATTACTCAGGTTTCAATTAATTTCATTTTGTCGACAAAAAATATATTAGGGTTATATAAAATTGTTCTAGTTATTTATTATTATGTACTTGTAATTTTTAATCTACTTATGTTTAAGATAGATCAGATATGAAATACTTTTTCTTATTAGTTTAATCAATTTGTTATAATCTTTAACCCGTTGTAAAATGACTGCACTTTTTTTACACCTTTAATAGAACATTTACATTTATACTTCAATTATTGATATTTATATAATATGAGTCAATAATATACAATCAATAACATATTTAAAAGGTATACTGAGCGTCAATGATTGAAATATAAAATGTAAATGTTTTATTTGAGAACCAAAAAAGTATGGTCATTTTGAGGATAGCATGACTAATACTGGGTTAATTTGTTTAAATCTATTAAAACATTAATAATTTTACCATAAAAAATTTCAATTAATATTTGCAGTGGTGGCTTGAGTTTCTATAACTCGGGGAGTAAATTTCAATTATAACTATCTACCTCCCCCCCCCCATACAAAACTATTATTAGTATTATTTCAAATAACTTAAACATTGTTAAGACCACTATTGTTGATAGTATTACATTAAAAAAATATAGATGAATTGTGAATTATAATTTTTAGCATATTACATATACTTCAGTTAACTATCCATAGTAGATAATACCTCCTTTTATGTATCAAGAGCAATTGCTCCAAGTTATCTTATAGCAGGCTGCTTCTGAATATTTATGTACAATAAAATTGTATTTGCCCTCTTTTAATGCAACGTATACTTATTTTTTAAATTAAATTCTGAACCAATGATTATACTTAATATATGAATAATATTTAGTGACACTGTTTTCTAAATTTAAGTTTTTTGGTATTAGTAATCTCATTAAGCTTCTTATATTATTCTTTTGATTTACAAAATTTTTAAATTTATATATGAACCTATTATATTGTATATTTTTATTAATTCATATTATACATCAGTATAAAATAATTTTAATTTTTTGATAAAAAATTTTGATATTTATACCGTATTTCATGGTAGTCTTCAAATAATTTTTTTTATGTTATTAAATATCATGTTCTTATTTATATTGTATCAACAAATTTTTTATTGCTTAATTCATCGGATAATTTTAGTTTGGTTCTCGTGTCAGGAAATAACTTAACTAACCTATTTTGTTATATTAAGCAAGAAAATTTGAGTGTGTCTTAACATTTACTTTTTTTTTTATGATTATTATATATTTTCATCAGTTATATGTTGGAAATATATACTAATCAATTTTATTATTCCATCTACTTATAAGTATTAACTAAATATTAATCTAGGTATTAAAGTTATAGAATTGAAAAATAATTTTATAAATATGCTTTTCTTAATTTAATGGAGTTGGGTACTTTTTTCTTTCTATAAAAAATTGATATATTGATAATAGATAGATCATTTTTTTTTTTCATTGCTAATAATTATATTTTATTTGTAGTTATTTATTTGATTTATAAAATTATGTTTTAGCACCCGCGCCACCTGTTGCAGCTCCAGTACCGGTTGGTGTACCAGGAGCAATGGGAGTTCTGCAACCGCAGGCTCCTGCATTGCAACCACAACTAGTTGATGTACCTGGTAATGTTTAATATTAATTAATTTAGTTTATATTTCACAATGAACTTGTTTTGATAATCTTGGCTATTGGGTAGTATTGATCTGAAGAGTTAATAACAATTTCAAATTAAAATAGGTATTTAATATATTATGTATACATCAAAAATTTAAGTTTAAAAAACTTTTGTTTGTGTTTATATTTTTTCTGTTTCCTTTTAATTTTAAATCTTTTTTCAAGAATTAAGATTACCAAAATTAATTATAATTGTAATAGATATTTTTTATTAATTTTTAATATTAAACAATCCATATTTGTTTTAGTATTTAACTGTCCACGTCGACCGAATTTGGGACGTGAAGGCAGACCGATTGTACTGCGTGCTAATCATTTTCAAATATCTATGCCCCGTGGTTATGTACATCATTACGATATAAACATTCAACCTGACAAATGTCCACGAAAAGTTAATCGTGAAATTATAGAAACTATGGTTCATGCATATAGTAAACTTTTTGGTAATCTGAGACCTGTATTTGATGGTCGCAACAATTTATACACAAGAGATCCATTGCCAATCGGAAATGATCGAATGGAATTAGAAGTATGGTTTTTTATTTATATCTTAAAAATAATATTTAATTGTATTGGTCATTATTTTAGGTAACACTGCCTGGGGAAGGTAAAGATAGAGTATTCCGTGTTAATATTAAATGGTTAGCCCAAGTATCATTATTTGCTTTAGAAGAAGCATTAGAAGGTCGCACAAGACAAATACCATATGATGCTATTTTAGTAAGTTAACTTTATTATTAAGTAAATATTTTTGTCTTTGTATTAACTGCTGTTTTAATTCAATAGGCTTTAGATGTAGTTATGAGACATCTTCCATCGATGACCTATACACCAGTTGGTCGATCTTTTTTTTCTTCACCTGAAGGATACTACCATCCATTAGGTGGTGGTAGGGAGGTTTGGTTTGGTTTTCACCAATCTGTTAGACCATCACAATGGAAAATGATGCTTAATATTGATGGTAATTTATTATCAAAAAATAAATAAAAATAAAGCTTAATTAATGTATATTTTTTCAAATAGTGTCTGCAACTGCTTTTTACAAAGCACAACCAGTAATAGAATTCATGTGTGAAGTGTTGGACATTAGGGATATTGGTGAACAACGAAAGCCATTAACAGATTCACAAAGAGTTAAATTTACAAAAGAAATAAAAGGTCTTAAAATAGAAATTACACATTGTGGAGCTATGCGAAGAAAATATAGAGTTTGTAATGTTACAAGAAGGCCTGCTCAAATGCAATCGTAAGCCATATGTTTTTTAAATTTTAAACATTATATACATTTATATAAAATGCATTTTTTTTAGTTTCCCGTTGCAATTAGAAAATGGTCAAACAGTAGAATGCACAGTAGCTAAATATTTCTTAGACAAATACAAGATGAAACTACGGTATCCACATTTACCCTGTCTTCAAGTTGGACAGGAACATAAACATACATATCTTCCTTTAGAGGTATATTTGTTTTATTAAAACCAATTTTAGTTAAATTAATTAACTGTGAACTATTTTTTTATTAGGTCTGTAACATAGTTGCGGGTCAACGATGTATTAAAAAATTAACTGATATGCAAACATCAACTATGATCAAAGCAACTGCACGAAGTGCCCCAGATCGTGAAAGAGAGATTAACTCATTGGTTCGTCGAGCCGATTTCAATAATGATTCATATGTACAAGAATTTGGTCTTACTATATCAAATAGCATGATGGAAGTACGGGGTCGTGTTTTACCACCACCAAAATTACAATATGGTGGACGAACTCTTCCTAATCAAGTAAAAATAAAGTTTTTATTGTTATAGTATGATTAATTTATTTTCCTTATATCATTTTCAATTTATATTATTTCAAGGGAGGATTAAATGTTCAACAAACTAAACAACAAGCTTTACCAAATCAAGGAGTTTGGGATATGAGAGGCAAACAGTTCTTTACAGGTGTAGAAATTCGTAATTGGGCAATAGCTTGTTTTGCCCCACAAAGAACTGTTCGTGAAGATGCCTTAAGGTAACATAATTTTTATTTTGGGAATATTACAAGATTGGTTTATTTTTAATTTTGTTAATATCTTATATAATATATATTATTTCTACAGGAATTTTACAACACAACTTCAAAAGATAAGTAGTGATGCTGGAATGCCAATTGTTGGCCAGCCATGTTTTTGTATGTAAAATTTAAATGGATTATTATTTTATCAAACTAATTATTTTTATTACAGGTAAATATGCAACGGGGCCTGACCAAGTCGAACCAATGTTTCGTTATTTAAAATCAACATTTACTGGGTTACAACTTGTTGTTGTTGTTTTACCTGGAAAAACTCCTGTTTATGGTGTGTATATTTTTATCTAGTATTTTGTGTTTAAATCAATGTTTACATGCATTTGATTTTTTATATTTTTGTATTTATTAATAGCTGAAGTTAAACGAGTTGGAGATACTGTTCTTGGAATGGCTACTCAATGTGTTCAAGCTAAAAATGTTAATAAAACATCTCCCCAAACTTTATCAAATTTATGTTTAAAAATCAATGTGAAATTAGGTGGCATAAATAGCATTCTTGTACCAAGTATCAGACCTAAAGTATGTAAACTGATTAAAAAGCTAAAATTTATTTTGTTTAACCATGATCAAATAAAATGTTATAGGTATTCAATGAGCCCGTGATATTTTTGGGCGCAGATGTAACTCATCCACCTGCAGGTGACAATAAAAAACCTTCTATTGCAGCAGTTGTGGGATCTATGGATGCACATCCTAGTCGTTATGCTGCTACAGTACGTGTTCAACAACATAGACAAGAAATCATTCAAGAACTTAGTTCTATGGTCAGGTATGATGTATATAGAAATAATTATTGTACTTAAAATGTTAATGTTGAAATGATTAATTTCAGAGAACTGCTTATAATGTTTTATAAGAGCACTGGCGGTTATAAACCTCATAGAATAATATTATATCGTGATGGTGTATCTGAGGGACAATTTCCTCATGTATGTTTTTGATTTATATTTTGTTTTTTTATACTTCAAATTTATACTTAGTTTATAATTTACTTTAAATTTATAAATATTTTATAGGTCCTACAACACGAACTTACAGCTATTCGTGAGGCTTGTATAAAATTGGAAGGTGATTACAAACCTGGAATCACATTTATTATTGTTCAAAAACGTCATCACACAAGGTTTATTTTTAACTTTTTTTTTAATATTTAAGTTGTTTTATTTAAATATGTTTTTATTAGATTGTTTTGTGCTGATAAAAAAGAACAATCTGGAAAATCTGGAAATATTCCAGCTGGTACAACAGTTGATGTTGGAATAACACATCCTACAGAATTTGATTTTTACCTATGTAGTCATCAAGGAATTCAGGTAATACTTTTTAGATTTTACATTCTTATATTATTTACTAACTTAAATAATAATTAACAGGGAACAAGTAGGCCGAGTCATTATCATGTTCTATGGGATGACAATCATTTTGAGTCTGATGAATTGCAATGCTTAACATACCAATTATGTCATACATATGTTAGATGTACACGATCTGTATCTATACCAGCACCTGCATATTATGCTCACTTGGTTGCATTTAGAGCTCGATATCATTTAGTTGAAAAAGAACATGACAGGTAAAATTATTTAATTTATACATGCATTATGCTATTATTAAACATTTTCTATTTGTGTGAAAAATAGATTATAAAATGCATTTTTAATTATACTCGTAGAATTTAGTTTTTGAATGTGAAGTCAAATTTTATTATTTTGTGTAACACTTACCAAATCCTACCTTGCATCAATTTTTGGACTCGACAAAAATAAAAACTACCAATGGATTTTTTCAAATCATTATTACTTACATATATATATTTTTTAATTATAGTTAAATTTTAAGTATTACACCTATGTGGTAGTAAGAGGGTATGAGAAAAAAAATTTGGTTTTTCTGTTTATTATGCTTTCCAGTAAAGTTTTACATGAAACAATAGATTATGTTAAAATGTTAAATTAGTTGCTCATTTAGTCCTGGATCAAGGTTTAATTGATTAGCTGTTAGCTATGATATAACAAATTTTAAGTATAATATGAGTTAATTTGGCTAGTAAAGCAAGCAATTAAATTTGATAACAGAAAAAACCTTTAATATAATTTAAGATGATACTAGAGTAAATTGTTTTTAATATTAACTTGAAACTAAAATTTAATTATATAAAATTGTATGTTTGTAATATGTGTCTTTAAAAATTCCTAATTCATTAAATATTAAGTATTTGGGATGACAAGGTTTTCATTCTTATGTGTACAAGCTCAGTTTTCACATACATATTAATTAAAATTTTTAATTGAGAGTTCTTGTTGAAATACCTGATATTCATCAGTTATATTCCTTGTGCTTAAAATGCATCCAAATTATTAAAAATGGTTATAGTTTTGGTGATACAGTGAAATTTCTATTTAAGAAAATGTTCTTTTTTATTAAATATTGTTAAAACCATAACCTTCATTGTTAATCATTTGTATATCTTTATATCTCTGTATAACAAATCTTTTTTTGTACAATGTACTAATACAGTCATTATCAAATATTAAACATTGTTAAAACTAAAATGAATAATGAAATAAAACTCAGTCATTATTATTTCACATATGTTTTGAATATTACTATATAGCTTATTTTATAGATGGAAACAGTTTATATGGTTTATTAGGTTTTTGACTTTTTTTTTACTTCTCAACTAAGATATATATATTTATATTTATGTTTATGTTAAAAATTCAAAATGTTAAATTGTATATTTATGTATAATTTTATTTGTTTCCATATGTTTTTTTATTTATGTCAAATTATTTATTTTCAGTGGTGAAGGTTCACATCAATCTGGTTGTAGTGAAGATCGAACACCAGGAGCAATGGCTCGAGCCATCACAGTACATGCTGACACAAAGAAAGTTATGTACTTTGCTTAAGACACCAAAATCGAAAAAAAATAATTGATTACCATTTAACAATTCTATTTATATTAGGCATAGACCAGTTACAACTTATCTTGCCAATCTTTGCCTTAAGTGTAACTGAGGCCAAAATATTCTGTTTTCGATCCCTGACAATTATTTTTTAAGTATTCATAATCTTTATTTTTTTACATTTTAATATCCATTTAGTTTTTAGAAAATTTCCAAAGTTCAATTTTGTTGTTGCTAGTATTTGTTATGTTACCTATTTTTCTTTCTTTTATTCTAATCAAAATTAGACATCACTTGATTGCTTCCAATATCGTAGTTATGCGAAAATTCTAGTCTAGCAGGTGTTTCGAAAACATTTTTCGAATAGCAACAGCAGCAATGAAAAATGCATTCCTCTTTTAAAATATATGATTATTGTATAATATTATTTCTTATTATTGTTAAGTGTGTATTATAGTCATAATTAGTAATTGTTTGTATTCCAATTTACCTGCCAACTTAATCTCTACTTATCTGATTTTTTTCTTCGATTCTCGAGCTTAAATAATTTTAATTATGATTAGCTATTAATTATATTTTGTTTTCCGGTTTGTTCGTTATTTCCCATTTGTTGTTGATATAGTATAATTTTAAGTGTGGTTCTCAAAAACAAAACTAGAAATGTGGTACCAATCATTGTTTAATATCTCAATAGTCTTAATTTCATAAGTTAAAAATAACATCTAATATTCTAGACTAGTATTTTTAAATGTCTAATGGCTTTAACTCTTTTACATTACATTTGTATTATGTTGATAATTGAAATTAATTATATCTTATTTTTATAATTTGGTATTATACCTGAAGTATATTAATTGGTTAAAACATTTTTATTTTGATTTAAGTAATGACAAACACTAATTGTACCTGATATTTAAGAACTATAAACCTTAATGTTAGCAGTTAAGCTTACAATTTAAATTGTATAAAAATAGACAAGATCAAATGTTTAGGTTACTAAAAATATAATGTACATTCAATTTTATCTTAAAATATTTATTATAAATTGTAATAATTGTTTTAAGAAAAAATATTATTTTTCTTTTAATTAAAATTTGAATAAGTTCTATATTTATCAAACCATGTATTTTCTGGAATATGCATTTGATTGGTACCACAATATTGCTAACCCTCCGATTATACAATTTGAGTATTATAAAACAATTGAAATTAATAATATTTATTTATATATTTACATATATCCATATATTCTAATTATTATTATTAATTATTAATATTACTATTTTAAATAATATATATATAAATTGATATAATTGTAGTAAAAAATTTAATTTTGGTTATGTTTAGTTGCTAAGTATTCAAAAAGTATATGAAACCTTATTTTTTAAGTAAACTATGCTTTTTGAATTACTGGTGAAAATATTTATTTATAGGAAAAAAATAAAGGGATACAATTTATCATACCCATTTATAATTACGCTTATATTCTGTTGTTAGTTTTTTTTTTTTTTTTTTTTTTTCAAGAAAATGATGATCTATAACTGCAAATCGAAAATTATACGAGGTATTTGTATTTTAATATATATTTTAACATTGTAGTGTAAATTTTTAGTTAAGGTTATTTGTTCTAAAAACCCATTGTTTTTACGAATGTATGCATTAAAAACTTTTAATTTAATTTGTGCTTGATAATTAATATCCATGTATCTATCTCAATTAATTCTATAATAATTGGTTTTGGGGGTTCAACAATATTCATATTTTTAAATAATTGTATATGAAAATAGCTGTTTTAAAAGGTAATATTTGTAAATATAATAAAAATAATATATATTATCAATAGTATGCAAGTATTGATGGATATGATGTGTTCCAACTCTGTAATATTATTTATTTAATTTTAAACAATATACTTTTAATATTTGATAATTATTTGAGAACATTAAAATGTGTCGAATTATATCTTGTATAATATAATTTGCTAAATGTCCACTCCTGCAAACTGTTATTTATATGAATTTTGACTTAAATTTTTAAAAATGTAGTTTTCCAACTAACTAAAATATTGATTCATTTTAATTTCCTATAATTAAAAGTTTTATTTTACAAGTATAAAAGAAAACATTTATATAATATTTTTATTATTATTAATATTGTTCAAGGTGCAGTTTTTTTAAAATTTAGTTTTATTTCAAGAGTGGGTTCAAAATATATTTTTCCTCTAAAAAGTGTCTAAGTATATATTATTACATTTTAAATCATAGATATTTTTCAAATTTAAAATGTTACACAAGTCAAGTGTTTTCCATTCCTAGTAATTTTTCTGTAGACTATAAAATATACTCAATTCATAAAATTGTTCTAATAGTTTTTAATTGAAAATAAGAAACAACAGTTCATTATTATCCATTTTAGTTTAATATTTTCAAAAAATAATGGATGCTTGGAAGATAACAGCATATGATTAAATATATTTATCACTTTATGAACAATAATTTTTCTTATTAAATATTGTATTAAATTTAAAAATGCCATACTTGATCTGTTTTTATTAGAGCTATATATACATTTTGAAATGTTACGAAGAGGGCTGCTTCAAGAGGGACAAGGTATGCCAAAGCACCACATTTTACCTTACTAAAATTACACGAAAAAAAAATAACTTAACAATAATAACAAACAAGTACGTATGGACCGTGTAATGATTTAAATTCTAAAAATAAAGGCTTCATTAATAATGTAAAATAACGGTTGGTAAAAAATATTTGTAATTGTTATTTCAGACTTATTCTGAAAACTTGCCGTATTACTTACAAAAAACTAAAATTTAATTAATGTGTATGTATATTCTTAATTGTTATTATTCAATTTTTTTATTCACATCATTCACATTGCGGTGTACCAAAGCACACTCCGTAAATCCACCTATGCATATTATAATTTTTAAAGATTCTAAATTATGATTGTCAATTTTACTTGTTATCATGAAAATATTGATAACATATGTAATGGGATGGGGGTAGTTGTTCCCCCCTAACATTGATTATAAATACTCATCCAGGTAGATAAACAATTATTGTTATGTACTGTATTGTATTTTGTATTGTTTATCTATCTTGATGGGATTCATATTGTATAAAATGACAGAACAGTATAGTTTCCTACGCATCAAATAAATCTCAACTCTAAGTTATCAGGTTAGATTTAGTTGTTAATAATATTTTAAAATTGATGTAGAATAATGGGATGTGCATAATACTCAAACTTAAAAATGTGTAAATCATGCGAATGCTTAAAATTTTGTAACAGCATTTTTTACTAAATTAATTGAGAATTTAATCTTTTCTGAAGAAAAACAAATGTTTGGATTTAAGTGATTTGGATAAGAATCAAGGTAGAATACTGGGTGCCATTCTGATGTATGCTCTTATCGGTTTTTCCTGTTCTAAGTCAGTTTTATACCCATTATTTATTGGATAACGACTGTATTTCTTATGGATTATAGAACGTGAGTGCGAGGCAGGATCAGAAATGCATTCTGATAGGCTCTATATAGGTGTCTCACAAGTCAAGGTTTATTTCGTGAAACGGTAAATCATCAAATCTCATATGTAAAGGAAAATACAGGAGACCAAACTCAAATCATTGAAACGTCATGGTTGGACATGAAAATGATATTATTGAAGAAAATGAGGGGAGTTTTTCTTCATTATTTGGAGTCTCATCTTGATTACTGTTGCTAGCTAATTGACGGTAAGTCAAGATAGTACTGATCTATTTCTCGTCTTGTTGGAAGACATTCAGAAGGTTTTCCAACAACAAAATTAAGTACAGTTTAAACAATTTATGGTAGAACCCATACTGAAACAAAAATAATCCATAGAGCGGTTACTGAAGTGCTACCGAATACTGGGTAAAAAAAATCCTCAATTCTATTGTCAATATTATAACTTTCTGTTATACATTTCATCAGTAATATATTATTGTTTCAGGTAGCATATTGTACTGAGTTCATTATGTGCTTTGTTAGATAGTCTCTATATGTAGCTATAGCTCTACGTGAAACTTTGCTAGGCTTATCCTTTATAAATATGATAGTTATCTATACTATTACCTTAAGCTAAGATATTTATATATATATAATATGATGTATATTTATGTATATTAGAATTTTTTGGTTACCTATACATTTTCATAATTATTATATATTACGATTGATTGATCAAAATATAATTTTTTAGTATTTTTATGTTTTATTTTAAACTAAATCTCATAATTTTCTTGTTTTTTTTTCTTTTGAGTTATTATTTTATTACACAAAATATTAATATTTTTGGTTAAAATAGTTTTTGAATGCTTTTGATTGTACACAAATAAATGTGATTTATATAAACAATTACTTATGCTTGAAATTAATTATAGGTATATAAGTAATTTTTGTATATTTTTTTCAATTTAATTGAATTTTACATCATAAAAATCAAATTTTATTTAATAGACTAGTTAATGATTTATCAAAATTATGAACAAAATCAAATCCAGAGCAACAAAGAATTATAATTTATATTTGTATTATATTAATTTTCTTTGCTTTTTGATAGAATAATATAATCTTGTCATATAATGTATTAATTAGAAGTTTTTATAATATTTTATGATTTATCTAAGGTTTTTTGTAACTAGTCTAAAATACATTTAATTATGTATTTTAATATTTTCATTCACTTCAAACATGAATTATTAGTTGGTATATTTATAAAATGGTAAATATTAGTAAATAGTGTACTTGTTAAGATCTACAATTGTTCATTACACCTTTAGTTAGTGGCGTATCCATGGGGAGGGGTGAGGATCAGAAACCCCTTCATGAACCTGAGATGGTAAATTAACTTTTACATGAAACACAGTTTTTTCTTTACATTTTTATATTTTAGAATTTTGACTATGCATATTAATAGTTGTTATAAACACTATAAATGTATTATACACACACTACACACACATACACAAGTTATAATATTATGATTATATTTAGATACTTTATTACTATTTTGATCATTTTTGCTTGGGAACATATTATTTAGGTTTTCTACAATGGTTGATTCTAAATCGGTCGTCTGGTCCCGATAACTGAAATAAAAGTGATATTATTGTCTGTATTCAAAGTTTATTTTGGGTATACCTGTTGCATACTCGGCTTGCCGATCATTTAACACAAGCACCTTATTGTGTAAAACTAATAGTTATTAGTAATTAATTGGTACTTGCCCGTTGGTGTCTCACTGTTTTACTTACTACTCGTTTCTTCGTTTATATTTGACATTTGTATTCTATTATATTTGTTTTATTTTAATTTGACATAATTCTAAGACGTCTAAACATTCCATTATGGTAAGATATTTTTAAAATTTAATTTTTAGTATACCTAAGTGATTGGACAGAAAATATTCTAATATCTAATATTTCTGTTCTTATATTAGTTCCTAGTTCCTAAATTGTTATTATTATTAGTATCATTATATTCAAATTCTTTAACAAATAAGCAGACTAGAAAAATTAATTATTTTTTTTACCCAAGTCAAAAAAACTAATGTCAACCAGACTTAAAAATACTGAAATCAACACAAATAGTAGTCAAAATGATAGTGATAAGATTAAATATATATAAATTTGTTGAACCCCCCCCCCCCCATATAAAGTTCCTGGCTACGCCAATGCCTATAGTTATAAACTAGATTATGTGTATATTCATTGGTATATAAATGTAATCATTGTGGTCATCCCATTGTTCATTATTGGAGCTCAATTATTTATTGATTATAAATTAAAATATTATTATTAGTTTTGAAAATAAATTATGATTTAATGAATTGAATTGTGATTCTTCAACTGCTTATACATAAATTTGAATTTTATGATTTCAGGTATTTTATCTGAATGATCTGTTTACAATTTAATATTTTTATTATTGAACAAGTACATTGCATAGAAAAACGTTATAATGCAAACCAAACACGAAAATAAACAAGATAATGTTGACTGTAAGATTAGATTTAAATTTGATTTTGAGGAATATTCATGGAATAACAACAAAAATGTGGATCTGCAAACATGTGGAATGGCTAGAAATGCATTGAACAAAATTGAAACTGAACGAAAGAATATAGAATATGATTTAAAAATATTAGAAGCTCTTAAACAAGAGACATCAGTCCAGAAGGACATTTTATTTTCTTTAATACAGCTAAAAGAAAAATTGACAAATAGAAATGAAATCCATTAATACATTTAAAAATATATTATTAAAATTGTAATAATTAAGTTCTGATGAATATACAAATTTAGAATCTGAAATTAATAGCAAATGTACTTATTTTCAACTAATAATTTTTTTAAATTTAAGTTATTACAAATTATATACATTTATATATTGATGTATTGTATGTAACTCATTAAAATATTAATTTTTTTTTTAAGCAATCTATTATAGTTATAACAATAAGCTTAATTGATGAAATAATGTATATATATATATATATATATATATTCATGGAACACAAAGTGAAGGAACCTCCTACTAAAGTTATTTCAATAAGATAATTATTATATTACACATTTACATTATTTATTTTTTTATATATAGTATTCATAATTTAGTCTCTCGTTTGTTGTGCTAATGAGAGCAACATTTTAACTAACTTTCTTTTATAAATTAATTTATAATATAAGTAAGTTCAGCATGTTAATTAATAGTAGGTATTGGTAGTGATAACTAACTTTATTCATGTTTGGTATACAAAGTATAAATTTGTTTTTATTATTAATATGTTAATATTTTTTAATAATAAAAATCAAACTATGTTGTCATAGACATACATTAACTATTGAGTTATTGGAGGTAAATATTAATTGGTTAATTCAATATAATTGATTTCAAGACCATTTTCTAAGTAGAGAAATATAGTTAGATTCCATTATTTTTAATTTTTAAATTGTGACACCGCATATATTTACATATCATGCTAATTATTAACTGATTGTTACATTGCCTTATACTGTAGGCTATATATGTATATTTAATTTATGGTACTTATAGATAATGTGCCTAAAATGTCAAATTTTTAGTATAATTATATTTGATTATTGGCAATTGGTATATTGAGTTTTATTGAATAATTTTTTTGTCATTAGAATAGAATAATCAAAAAGTGTATAAAAATCTAGTTATTATTATTTTACTTCAGTTTTATTAATATAGATATTTACATAAAATTAGTTAAGGAATATTGTTGGTATATTGTACACATATTTCTTAAAAAATAGACACTAAATGTTAGTTTTCAATCATATTTAGTGTATACCATTGACAACTATAGCAGCATGTTCAACTTCTATTATGCCTATTTCCCCATCCTCGGCGATGATCATCTTTGTACTCATCGCGAGCATTTAGCCTTTGTCTTTCATTTTCTTCCTCTTCCTCATTTAATTTGTCTTCTTTATCTTCTTCTTTTTCTGGCCCTTCTGTCAATTCTTGTAAACACTTGGTATTTTCGGCAGTCGGTAAATGCCATCTAATAAAAAATATTTTTTTTTATAAATAATAAATGTAAACAGAATCAGTTTTAATAGAATCATTGTTTTTAAACTTACATCCCATCGTTGATTCGTTTTTGACAGAATTCTTCGACCGTCATTGTAGGTAAGCTTGGGTAACCAGCACCAAATATTTGTTTTTGCATTTCATTTTTTGTAATTATAATAGGCATTAGTGGTTTTGGTTTAATTTTTTGTGCTTTAGTTTGTTCAGGGTTATCTTTATTCTCATGCTTCAATTTATAATGCAGAATTCTCATTTCAGCTTGGAGTGAATCTATTTCTTCCAAAGCTTTACCAACATTGTATTTTAACAAAGAAACAATGTATTTTCTTTTCATTTCATCGTCTACAGACTCCGAATCATTTTGTTCTTTTAATAGCTGCAACTGTGATTCCATTAATTTTTGTTCTTTATAATTTTTTATTTTTTCTGCACGTCTACGAGCCATGAGAGAAAAGTCCATTGTAGCCTGAGTAGTAGTTTCTTCTGAATCTGTATATGCTGATGGTAATACAATGTCAGATATTCCATAATCTTTACATCTAAAACCATTAAAACAATCAAAAAGTTGTAGGTTTACATACAAGGTAACACAAACAAACCTATGTGTTTCACTTACCTCTGAAGATAGTCCCTGAAATACACTTCGGCTGTTTTAACAACATCCAGTCTGTTACCATTGTTTGTTAGTTTCAAGGCTAATGACCCTAACATGAATGGTAATAACATGTATTTGATGTCTGTAGTTGGTATTTCTTCGATATTTTCATTGTCGCTGAACATTCCAGCAGCTGACACAAGTTGTGTTGTATGTTCCAATATTTTCATACATTTAATTATTTTATACTGAAATCAAGGTAAAACTGTACTATGAAAAATAACGGGACAATGGCAACGCACAACAATATGGTGCAACACTAACCTGTGTTCCGGATTCTTTAGCGGGTTCGGTGGATTCGCAAATACTCTCATAAGACGCCAATCCTTGGTCAAAACATTCAGACAAAGAGAGGTTCTGAAATTCTACAGACATCGATCCTGTAGCCATTATAATAACTTAAACTATCCTACACATTCGTTTTATTTCCTATTTTTCTTGTTAGCAGTTTAGTGCCAAATAATTTTGATTTTTGATTGTTAACTGTTATTGTACGGAATTAGACGCGAACCAAACAATTGTTATCATTTCTGTCGGCTCACTTATCGTTTCTTATCAATTTATTTTTATATCGACGGCTATTATCTTTGAACAATGCTGATGTCAAAGCCATACAATATTATATGTGTCAAAGCCAACCCACATTAACACTATAGAATGGAGTAGTTAAAGATTAATAAGACTAATTAGTTTAAATACGAAGTCTATTATGTGACTAAACCGAAACTACTAAGTCAATGAGTTAAAATAATAGACGTTATTAACTATGTTAAGTTCAGGATAACACTATTAATGCTATTGTAAGGCCTCAAGAAATATTCAAAGTATTATTATTATCGACTTGGCCCTGGGCTATTAACGTCAAATATTGGCACGAATTAGCCGTCGGTGACTCTATTTAATAATTTTTAAATAATTGCTTTTAACCAGATATAACATTTTACATCTTTAATGCTACTATCAAACATTATTCAAAATAGTTACTTAATATAATTTAATACGGATTGCAAATGGAAAAAAGAAACATCAACTAATATTTTAATTCATGTTAATTTCCTATTTTTTTGTTCATACTTTAACTATCTACCATAGTTTATTTTTATTGTGAATTAAATTCGTTCTACTTATTGGTGTATGAAAAACTGAATTATTTGTATATATTTGTACTTAAGGGGTTACATGTCAAATTCCTTTTATATTCTGTTTGATTATTAGGTTATTGATGGCTGGTACATACGGATATTTTTTTTATTACTATTGTGCAATGTGAATTAATATTTAAGTTGATCATTATTTCTCATTTATGTCTCAACTTATTGAAAGTACTACACGAAAATATATGTATACACATTACATGTATCCTACGGTTTTTGTAATATAGCATGTATATCTACTATATTTATTATTATTACATTTCTATTGTATTAAGTACATATAATTAATTTTGTTGCTACTACCATATTGGTAACTGAGCCTGGATAGCTTGGCTATATGTATGGTGTATTTTTCTAAATTTATTAATACATTTAAAAAATATATAAAAATATATTTTATTTCTAACAAATCATTTTATCATTAATAACCAAATGCATTTTAGAAATAAGTTATAGTTCATTAAAAAAAATTTGTTATTACATCTGTTTAGTAAATATATTGAATTTTTATTAATTAATGTCTAACAAATGGCATTGACTTATTTAAGTATTAAGTGAAAATTCTAAAAATATTGTTTCTCTAGAATTTTTTATAACCTAATATTATCTAAATTTAAAAAAATTAAGAATACATGTTTTAATGATATAAACATATTATGCAAATTCATTGTTCAAATTATATTATTGTAAACTAAACAAATAGTAAACAAAAAAATATGTACTAATTACATCATTAATTATCAGTTGGTGATTTAAAACTGAGTGGGGGGTGTTGTTGTTGCCTGGTGGTTAATTTTTGATAAATATTATCAAAGTACGTTTCGCTTTGGAGTAATACGTGATAAAAAAATGTCAAACTTAGGTTACTTTAAAAATTGTTTTTTACTATTTAGTAGTTTTTACTAACAACTATATGCCATCTATATAACGTGTTTAATTAAATGTTAATAATATCATAACTATATGAACTGTAAATTATATAATATTTTTAAATTTTAAATAGATTACAAAATGTTAAACCCTCTTATTTATGGCGTTGAGTTTCAGGTAACCAGTGTAAGGATAATTATAAGTTAAATTGTTCTAATGTTTGTATTTACATTTGTAGGCAAGATCATTATGTTCACTGCATGCTGATGTGGATCAAGTAAGTTTTTTAATTGGAACACAGTCATTGAACACATCTAATCAAGTGCATCTCGTAAAACTGCAAGAAGATACCAATACTTTATGTCCACAAGTATGTTCTTTGAAAATTAAAAATATGTATATACTTTTAAACAATTAGTTGTGTAGAGTGTAGACTTATGAAGCTTTTCATAAAAGTATGTCACTATTGTTGGAACAACCAACTTAACTACTTTTTTCAAATTTTTATTTTAACTAAATCAATTTTTTTTAAATAATAGTTAAAAAAGAAATTATTAGAAGTGCACAAAGTTTAAGTTATGAGGATTTATAATTTTGTAAATTTTACAATGCTAGTTAATGGAGAATACAAATTCAAAATATTTGCTAATTTCTTATGAAACACCTTCTGGAGAAAACTATTTATCATTATTACAATAAATATTGTTAAATTTGATTAATTTAATTCCAATATATTATACTTGAAGTAAAAGAAAAAAAAAATTGAATAGAAATTTCATATTTAGTTTTAAAACATATGATTGAAAATTATACGAGGCCTATAAGTATGTTCATAGAGGATGTAGAAAAAAGGTGGGCAACCCTAAATAATTGGGAGAAAGGGCAAAGGAGTAGAAGAAGTTTTAAAAACATAAGTTTAAATCTTATACTTAACTCAAAAGTAAATGATTTCCTTCAAATTTTGTTTGCATTAGTGTTATCAATCTAAAAACACCTATCTATAGTTCAAAAAATATGCTAATTTCTTGTACACAGAGATGTGGTGACAGATGATTTTCTGATGCAATTGCTCCAACTCTAGAAATGTATAGTAGGGTTGGGTACTTCAGGGCTGTAGGCTCGGGTTTCAAAACTATATTCCAATAACTTCCTATTTTGCTTGTAGTACATCCATAAGTAACAACCACTGAATAGTTTTTATAATTATATGACAAAACTATTGATCAACATTATACAGTGCACAGAAATAGATTTTAAAGAAAGTACATTATTTTTGTGATGGTTGGTGGATGGGGTGGTTTTATATAATCGCGCCAAGGAATGATATTTTGTTACTATACTACTGCTTGTACATTATTTAAATTTAATGTAGATTATTATACTTATTCCTTGGTATTATTTGTATTGATTTGATCAGGCCCTATGCTTCATAATTTATTGATAAATCAATTTCTATGAGAATTTTTAATAATTCAATTTTAGATATATGATCACAGCAGTGGTGAAATATGGTCCTTAGCAGCTTCTCCTACAGACAAGCGTTTAATATCTACTTGTTATGCAAGTATAGAACGAGATTGTGAAAAACATACAGCTCTATGGAGACTTCCAGAAAATGATGGTCATTTAGAAAATGTCCTTAGTTTTCCGTCCGAGAAGTATGGTACTGATATTAAGGTATTCATTATTGTTTTATTTTTTTAATTTTGTAATTATTTATATTTTAATTTATTTAGGTGACTACATTTCATCCTACAAATGAAGCATTTATGGCATCTGTTATTGATAATAATATAGTAATGTGGGATGTTGGTCAAAGTGGAGTTAAAATTGTATGTACTGCAGTATTAGATGGTAAAGGTGAGAAATTGATTGTATGTTTTATTTGGGAAATTATATTTACACTAATAATTTTGTACATACAACAATAGTCAATTCTATAAATTTTATTGTATGATATTGAACATTAATTTTCAATTGTTTAATAGGTCAACCAAGGTTTACTACAGGAAAGTGGAATCCACAAAGTGTTAATTTACAATTTATTACTGCTGATGATTGTAACATTAAAGCTTGGGATTTAAGGTCACAGGCCAAAATTGCTTGGAGTTTGGATGGAGTTCATACTCAAATTATTAGGTATATAGTATTAAATTGTTAATTATCCTCTTTGATCTATTCATTAATAATATATTTAAGTGATGTTTATATTTAATGCAAAAAAAAAAAAAATGTTAGGTTGCCAAATATATATTTATGTTTTTATTTATTTTTTATTCTTAATTAAATAATAATAAGTTTGATTATTTATTCATAATATATCATTTTATTTAGGTTTCTTTGAAATATATGTCATATTTATTAAATTATTAATTTAAAACTTAAAAAATTGTTGACTTCTTGCTTATAGTAAAACATATGAAACAAATATTTAACATTCTGAAAGGCAAAATTTACTAATTTTCTTATCTATATTTATGAAGTGTTTTTTCTTTATTATTATAATAATATTAAAATAATTTCAGAGATTTTGATTTTAATCCAAATCGTCAATATTATATGGCAACATGTGGAGATGATGGGTATTCCAAATTCTGGGACATACGTAATTCTAGTCAACCATTAATATCTCGAGCTGATCATTCTCATTGGATTTGGTCACTCAGGTAATATAACTTGAATGTATAATTATATTATTTATTGAAATTATTATACAAAAATTTTGAAAATTATTTTTTTTATTCTTTGAGTTTTCATAACAAAAATACATAAATAAATATTAAAAAGTTACTTTTACATTTATCGAAATCTATCATAGTAACATATTAAATTTAATTACTCCTATAATGACTATATGGATATTGATGTTGATTTTAGTATAATAGGAAACATCTATAATGACCAATTATTATTGATATACATTTGATAAAATGAAATTTATGGCTGGTATATATTTTTTTTGAATGATAAATATTAAATTATAGTTATATTTATATTATATGTAAATCATAACATTATAAAAAAAAAAAAAAAACATATTGTAAGACCTTGTAAAAAAATCATTCTGAATCTACTGATTTTATCTCCATAAAAATAGTTTCTGTTATTAGGAAACTAAAAAAAAAAAAATTTTAAAAAATCTCAAAAACTGTATGTATATTTGTATAATTTCAAAATAAAAATCACTTTTAAGTACATATATGTATATATGTATATACTAAATATATTTTTATTTTACTACCAAGCAAGTATATTTATAATTTAGAAAAATAATCTATAATTTGTATATTTTGGATGATTAAGAGTGTCACATTCTTGAGTTTGTTGTTAATTCAATAACTTGGTATTTGAAATAATGGTTAAATACTGTTGTAGTACATTAAAGTATGAGATTGCCATTTAAAATCTAGTATGCACTTTCATTTTGTATGGGGTCTATTATAAGAAGGTTATACTGTATTAAATAATAAATAGTACAATTTTATAATCGATAATTTTTGGTTTTAGTTAAAATGATAATATTTCCATTTCTGGAAATTTTGCTTTACAAAGATCATTTAAATTAATTTTTGAGCAGAAGTGTAGTTATTTTTTATTATAAGGAGATCTCTATGTTATAGGATTCTGTTATTAAGAGGTTTTACTGTACATTAAAAAAAAATTATCAAAATAAGATATACAATAAAGAAATATGAGAAATTTTACTATGAAATATAAAGTATTTAAATACACTTTATTTTTAATAATAGGTACTTGAAAAATGTAAGTTATTTTAAAACAAAGATTCATACATATGCATCATATAGAAATATGTTTTTTCTTGGTAAAATAATAATAATTTTGGTTTTTATGATATATAATGTTATTTTGACCTATTTTTATTAGTCTTTTAAATGTGATTATATGTGATTTCTTCTATACTTTTTTTTTTAATTGTATTGTTATTATATGAGTGTTATTTTACAACAAGACATTCACCTAATGTTCATGCAGATAATAAAATGTTATGTCATATTTAATAGTTTATATTTTTTCTTCAGTCAATTAGTGTTTTATTATCAATTTAGTTGATTAATTTTTTATCTCTTGATAATTTAATTTATAAATAATTTATTGGACGTAAATAAACTATTATTATTATTATTATAATTGCTAATTTGATTGTTAATAACTTGGTTAATTTTATTGATGCATTACATTTAAGCTATTTGTTTCAACTATTTTATAAATTTTTTTATATTAATATAAACTATTACATTTAAAGGTACAACCCAGTGCATGATGAATTAATTGGAACAGCTTCAAGTGATGGTCAGGTTCTCATTACACGTTTAGTTGGAATTTCTTCTTCAGCCATTGAAAATGAAGATCTAAAAACTAAAACTTCCATTGAAGATAAAATAGTTGCTACGTGTGATCAGCATGAAGATTCTGTGTATTGTGTTGAATGGTCATCTGCAAATTCATGGATACTTGCATCTCTAAGTTATGATGGTCGTTTATTACTTAACAAAGTACCAAAAGACGAACAGCTTAGAATATTATTATAAATAAACTATCTAAATTATACATTCCAACTGAATAAAATGTTATTATAAAGAGCTTTGAAACACTATGGTTTTGAAGAAATTAACTAACAAACCATTGTGGAAACTAATATTTATTGTACAAGTTAATGTTTCTTAAATAAGTGAAATAAGTTTAAGAATAATTAGTTAATTATATACTTTAATAATTATTTTTAAAGGCTGTGATATTGCATATTTTTTTAACCAAATATTCTATTCTATGATTTAAATTTAGTTATTTAAACTGGTTATCAAAATCATTACATTTTTTCAGTAGTTAATCTTATAAACTTGTAGGTACTTAACAAATATTTATTATATTATTTTTTCATTCATAAGAATATACTATTTTAATACGTTAAAGATTTTATATCTGTATTATCAACCTAAATGTGTTATTTTGAAGTGGTTTGTATTACAGTTAGAAATTTAACTATGATAAATGGTTTAATTATTATTAAATATGTAATTGTTTTAATTGTTTCTATTGTTGTTTAAACTATAACTTATTTTGTGTTTATTTAAACACCTATTATCACAATTAGAATTTGTTTATTATTGATTTTCAGACAAAGTCGAAAATTGGCAATTGTTTATTTTTTTCCAATCGTTTCCTCGGAACAGGGTTTTTAAGACATTTGCACGAGAAGAGTTTTAGCTCCGAAAAAAAAAAATGTATGCAATGTAATGTTGGTCCATCAGTTAAGACAATTGGTGCATCGGCAAAAAAAAAAAAAAAAAAAAAAAAAACAGCCATGCGGACCAAATTCAGACATCGGTTAATTAATGTTGAACGATCGTTTTCGAAACTGGTCGACGACCCGAGTAATTAACCAGACAGCGGTTCCAGTTACAGGCAGAGCCGAATCGACCGGTGCCGAACAGCGTACGGGTTAATTGACGACGGCATTTCAATTGGCACAGGGACGCGGGCGGCGCCATCTGGTGCACGGGACGCGGGCGACACGACTCCCCCGTTTTATTCGCGCACCCGAACGCCAACTCGCAGGCCCGGACCCGAGCCGCGTCACGTTGGCAGCGCTGTCGGCCGTGTCGTATCCGGGGTGGGAGTTTACAGTCGCGATTCTCTTGGCA